TACTATTATTATTATCATTATTATCATCATCATCAATATCATTATTATTAATATCATTCCTTATCATTATCATTAATTATATAAATGTTATCATTATTAATTATCATTACAAGGACAGGTTTGGGATAAGGGGGGGCGGAGGTATGATATAATATTGTCAGTGCCACTGTGACTATCTCTGTCGTTAGTTGCGTAATAACATGTCCACTGTCTACACTCTCCACACTTCTATGTTCGTGTTTGTTGACATCCAAACCCCAACCCCTACCAGATACATCGTACCATCAATTGACAATTACCACATTTGACAGAGGTATTTATAAAATTACGTATGAGAATTACATAATTTCACAATTGCGTTCAACAAAGTAGAGAATTACACAGTTGGCAATTGCAGTGGGTTACATTCAATTATTTGACAATTACATTTCAAGAGGTCATTTCACAATTACATTAATTTGATTATGACGTTTCGTTTCATAATCATCATTACATTTGACAACGTTACATCCTTACATAAGATCAAAGACGTTTTACAGTAATCATTACATTGGAAATGATTAAGTTTAAAAAAACAATAACATTACCAGTATTACATAAGATCAATGACGTTTGACAGTGACATTCGTCAATAACGTTGTTTTGACCCTGACGTTTGCAGGCAGACGTTCACTGACTTTCAGTTTAGCAAAACAATAACACTCTGCAGTGACGTTTGACAGTGACATTTGACAGTGACATTTGACAATGGCGTTGGACGTTGTTTTGACAATGACGTTGTTTTGACAATGACGTTTGCGGGCAGACGTTAGACAGTGACATTTGGCAAAAACATTTGACAGTGACATTTGAATTAGACAGTGACATTTGACAGTGACATTTGACAATGACTTCTGACAATGACATTTGACAGTGACGTTGTTTTGACACAGACGTTTGCCGGCAGACGTTCACTGACCTTCTTGGCCGGATCCGGCTCCCGCACAACTTTCACGATGCCGGAGATGAAGTCCTGAACCAACTGTACTACCTGGTCAATGGCCAGCTGCTCCAGATTGTTCTTGCCGTAAAAACCTGATGAGTGGAGGGGGTGGGGGAGTGGGAAGTGGGAGG